CATCAAGAATTGGGTGCTTTCCATGCTAAAAACAAGGAAGATCAACACGGAGTTGGGAGGCACGAAAGAATCTATTACATCCACAAGGGAGTGTACTCTCTCCTCTCCTGTGGACTGTGGTTATAGACGAACTCCTCTTCTTACTGAACAACCACGGCTTCGAAATACCAGGGTATGCAGACGATCCAGTAATCTGCGTAACAGGGCTGCATGGCGAAACGAAAAAAATCTAAATACGCGACCCCTAAGTTCGGCCAAAAAAAAATTTTATTTCTTTCAAATTGGCTTGCATAAATACTTGTTTTGTTTGATTGTAAGTTGGTACGGTATTGCGTCCACATTAAGCCTTAAGCTTGAAACTAAACCGTATAGAAATTGCTGTGGAAATGTCTTCTATTCAAAGGCCACTTAAGGATAGATTCATATCAAAATTTCATCGCAATCGAATGAATAATTTAGGGAAGCATAAAGCACAAACGTACCTATACACTGTGTTAGAAATTATATGAGGGTTGAGAATAATTGCTAGCGATAATCGCCTCAAAGTGAAAATGTATAATAAAAGGCAAAGAAATTAAGGATATACATAAGTAAGTGAAAAAGGAAAAAAAGCATAACATGCGATAGTCATTGAAAGGAACTAAGTTCACGTTTAGGCACTACACGTGGCCCTAAACACATACATATTTACATACATATATATATATATATATATATATGTACGAGTATGTTTTTATAAACACAATGTGTTGGTACAATACGGTTGACATACTTCCTCATAGATTTATTTTTAACATACCAATGGCGATCCATTTGTTTTGGAATTTATTATCGTACAATACATATGCACGTATGTGTATGTAGTTATGTGCATATATACCTAAGCTGTGGAAAATTGTATCCTGCAACCTAATCTCATGACGTCATTGCGTTCCTAAAGTGTGCTCTATCTATAGACCAGTAACTAGTGGGTGAAAGCGCGATGATTGCGTCATTCAAACGCGCTGGAAAGGATAATAAGAAATGAATTGAACAGGGATAGACCAGGAAAGAGTAGGAAGACAGTGAGAGCATAACCAGGAAATTATGTACAAAATGCCCACTGACTGTCGACATTTTTGTAGCTAGCGGCAATGAAGTGCGCACACAAAAGGAAGAGAAAATAAATGTATTTGTATTTGCCCGACCTTGTTCGTGTTTGCTTATTGTCTAGATGTGTATGTATTTAGGCAATTACTGGATTGTAATCGTTTTGTTAATTAGTATTCAATTATTAGAATGTTTCTATGTCATTTTTGTGTATTCGAAAAAATAGTATTTTCTTCAGTATTGCTTTCAGCTTTTCTTCCAACTTGCGCGTTGCTAAAGATATCGTTTGGTATGACTTCAGGCATGTGATTATTGCAAATTTATATATTATACGATAGCGCTAAAATTGAAGCTGCTATTACTAGTCGTCCACTGCGAGTTGGGTGCGAAAAAAAAATGGAACAAGAGAGAAAGAGAAAGCCAGCTTATTCTCGAAGGGAGAATGGCCTAGTTCTCCAATCGAATACTAACCTATACCACATTCGTTATCGAAGATTCGTTTACTAACCGTTTTCGAATTGTTAACCAAGCCAAATGTTTATGGGGCTGTTCCGAAGTTCACACAATGCACTGTGGGTAATTGGACCAATTTTTGGGGCCAAAGTTAATTATGACCAAACAAGTAGATTATTAATTTTTTCATCGTTTGGCATGTGACTTCCCAAATTATTAAAAAAAAAAATCTTAACCCTTGACGACCGATGGATCAAAAGGGGTCACTTTTTAATTCGTGGTTTTATTGAAAAAGTTTGAAAGCAGTTTTTTTCTAAATTAGTATTACAGAAAAAAAATCTCACTTAGTTATAAAAGCTATTCAGACAGTGGCTATTTTTGAAAAATAATACAAATTATTTTTTATTTCGATTGCAAACCTGAAAGGTGTGAATGTCCTAATTTGTCTACTTAAAAGTTAAAAGGAGCAGCCTTTGGAGGAATAAAATTGCAAACAGCCTTTTGTTTATTTTTTTATTGAGTTCTCCATTTAAAATGTTAAACAGTTCACTGCTGACAGTACCAAGATTAACTACACAAAAAGAGACATCTCCCAAAAATCGTAACATAAATCGAGGAACTAAACTCGAAATTCTTCATTTTACACATTTTTGATAGTTTAAACACGGCAAAATACGGCCAGAATTTTAAAAGTTTTTCAAATTTAATAAGAAAACAAGTAATGTTTAAGCAAAAAAAAAAACAACTTCAATTCTCATATAAAAACTATAGAATTCGGATAACGTGGTCCAAAGTTATGCGGCAACATACATAAAATAAAATAATAAATAATTGCGACGATTTGATAACCTTCTTCGTTTTGTGAAGTCGGTTAAAAATAATAATTAAAGGATATGTCTGAAGTACGTATGTTATTCAAAAAACAAAAAAAAAGTTCACAAAATGCTACATCTTAAAAGTATTTTTTTTTATATTTTTGAAAGTTTTTTAGGCAATTATTAGCTTCTCAAATCGCTTAAAAAAAACAGAACACAAAATCGATACCAATATTTTTTTTTTACAAAAACAAAAAACAATGTTATTTGGTTTGAAATATTTTTTATCAAAGGCCAAGGCCAAACAGTTTATTTTTGTGAGTACGAAAAACGATTTTTCGCCACAAAAACTCATCAAATTACCCACAGTGCAATGTTGCGGAAATAGGCTGAGGGTTTTGTCTGTGTCTACTTTTTGACTCACCTCAATGATGACACCGCTTAATATACATATGTATACACAGCCCGTGTCATATTAAAAACAGGTCTTATTAATAATTTTATTTTTTTTTTCCTACACGGTCAAAAATTTGGGTTTAATTTTTAAACCGCGCTGGGACTACTGCCTTTTTTAATCTTTTATAGTCTACTTTTTAAACCAGTCAATAGTTTTAAGCAATTTTTAATATATTCTGGTTCAAATTTTAGTCCAAAAAGTTCGGTGTTTAAAATTAAACCAAAATGTTTTAATTCTAGTTTCATGGTTTCATATATGGAAAATTTGGTTTAAAATCTAAACCGAAATAGAAAATGTTTGCACACAGCGAAATGCGGTATTGATTCAAATACAACATTTGAAAGCACATTTACATGCGTGGCTGTAGCTGAGTGTGCAAAGATGCTTGATACAATTGGTTGCTACCAAGGCTGTCCGGGTTCAATCCCCACCAGACGTAGCGTGAAATTTAAGATTTTTTATTTTTTATTCTTAATTAAAAATGAAAATGTTTGGGTTTAAAATTTAAACCGAATTGTTTAAATTCTAAACCCAACATATGTGCCCTCTTTTTTTAAACTTAGAAGGTTTGTATTTGAAACTGAATTTAGTTTGGTCATATATGTAGTCCAAAAAGTTTAAAATTAAAACCGAAATTTTTAACCGTGTACTTAATCGCAGATTCCTTTTTTTATAAAAATATAGTGTCTTATTAAACAAAAATCGTAAAGATCCAAGTTACAAACTTTGTGTAATAGTTATAAAAATCAACAAACTTACTTAAGCGTTTAGAGCTTTTTAATTAGATTTCTTACATTTTAAGAATGCAGTTTTTGCCTTATTAAATTCTAGTGTAATAAAGTGCAAGTTTGAAGCAATTTTTTCGCTGATGGTATTGTGCATTTCCTTCCTTCTAAAGTCTGAGTATGTTCGCCACTTTTTTTTAAAACGAGCAACACCTTCGACAAAAAAAAACTGCTAAAAATCAACAGTAAACCACAGCTACTTCAAACTGGCATTTTGTTGTACTAAAATTGAATTAGGCATCAAAATCTTTCTAAAACAATCTTATTAAAAAGCTTGAAATTTTTACGAAAGTTTATTGAATTGTTTTTTCAATATTGCACAAAGTTTGAAACTTGGATTTGCACAGTTTTTGTTAAAGAATAAACAATATTTTTATAAAAATAATATTAAAATTAAAAAGCAAAGAAATAAATTCTTAAAACTTTCGAACATGTTGTGCGCTTTTAAGTTTGACGTGGGCTATACTTCTAGTATTGAAATCGCAAATAGCCTTCGCTTACTTTGCTATACTAATAAATACTTGAGTTTTATGTATATAAGGAGTATACTCATTTTGAGTCTCCAAATGGTATATGTTTTATGAACAGCTACAGAAATGTATATGTTTTGGTTTGTCAAATTACAGATCCCTAGTATACCTCAACCCACATTGTTTGTACAGAACGCCACACGA